TGATTCCAAGGGGTCGGTTACAGAAGGATGGGTATTACTGCCATCGGCTTGGAGCTGACGTGGTAGCGTTTGGAGATAGACTTTTGCTTCAGGACAGAAGAGAAAACACTTAGGGCAGCACAAGTGGTGCCTGGAGTATGCAAGAGAGAAAAAGATTACGTAAAAGGCAAAATTCAAGTCGAACAAAAAGTTTCCCTGCATAGCCAAATTGAATGTGAGGTTATTAAGGTCAAAGAAAAGTTTTGTTTCTACAACTATGCAGCTGATTATAGTTGGGAAAAAAAAATTGTGTCTTTCTTTCTGAGGCCTCATGAATGCAATCCACCGCTCCTGCAGAAGGTCAGTCATCAGGAACTGATCCAGGATGATAGAGGCATGTCCCTGGCACGCTGTACAAATAATTTCAGTAACGTTATATATATATATGACCAGTGGGAATGAGGATGTTCCAGCTTTCTGTCTCTGTGCGTATTTCTATCATGGCCATCAGTGCTGTATCTGGTGTGTGAGATCTAATCAAGTGCATTGCATTAAAGCAAGGAAATAGGGTGAGCAATGGCCTGGCCAGCAGGGCGTACCCAGGCAATCAGAGCACCCGGTCACTCCACACCGGGACTTGATAAACTGCAAGAAGTGGAGAAATGGGATTTTTTCCTTCCACATCGCCTAGGCAAAGCCTTTGTCTGTGTGTGTTCAAGGCCACAGAGTGTCATGCAGGTGAAAGGATGATAGGGCTAGATTCTGCAGAAATAAATATCTCAAAAATGATGGAGAAAAATCTCATAGATATGAGTACAGAAAGTAAGCAAAGAGCGAGGTGGAAAAGAAAGTGTGTTTTTCTAGCATTGAATTGCCAGAAATAGATGGAGTACAGGAAACAAGATGACAAGGAGCTGTGGAGGTTTGGACGTCTGGTGTTGCTTACAAAAACTATAAATGAGAGAGGATTTAAAGAAAGCAAAACCCATGATTCTCATTGTCATAAATGAAACCAGTTCTAATGAGCTTGGTTCAGGCATTGAGTCCCATTCCGTGGTGAATTTGAGTGGAAGGAGCTGCCCCTGTGACTGGGAGACTGTGGGCAGACACAGGATGGGCTATGGGACTTGTCTTGGTGTGAGACCTGTGCCCCTTTGTTGGGTCTGCAGAGGGCACCTTTCCTAACGCTAAGCAGAGGCAATACGTATTTAATGACCTACATTCATTTAAGAAAGAGAACTACTGATTTATATATTCAGGTCAATAGCACTTTCCCCAGGTTTCAATAATCAGATCAATTATCTGAATCCAATAAAATCTTATTAAAGAAATTCAGAATTATCTTTAAAATAGCTGGCCTTGTAGTCCCTGAGTAGGTTACAAAAACTGCTATGAAGAATTACTGTGACCTACTTTCTGGGAGGTACAGCTATCATTATCATATCAGAGGTGCAGCCTGATAAGGCTACATGACTTCCATCTTCTTGAAGGTAGTTTGGGAAAGAATGAGCAAGAAACCTTAGTCTAGGTCCCCAGATTAATTTTATTTTCATAAATACGTGTTAAAATTGGGAAAGTCACAATCTTGTCTGTGCAAAAGAGTTTGTTTTAGGAATTGTACAAGGAATAGCCGAGAGCACGAGATGGGTGTGAGTTCTTGTTGCATGTCAGAAGCATTGTGCAATACATGGGCACTCATGGAGGGAAATTTCGCACTGTTTGTAAGAGAAGACAGAAAACCTTTCAGCCTTGTTTACGGCAGGTGAGATATTCGGTTGTTGGATTGCTTCTGAGAAAACAGCATTGCTAAAATGTGGCTGAAAATGCATCCTGGCATTTGCAAGCTGTTTTCTGTCACTTGCAGTTCATGGCTGAGAAATGAGCCAGGCAGGGCTTCCCAACAAACACTTGGTGGCTCTGGGAGAACCCGTGCAGAACTCCTCCATGTCTTTGCTACATCTACGGTGCATCAAAGAGCGGTGTTTGCTTAGGGAACATCCTTTGCCGCACTGGGACTAAAGGTTGGGGCCAAGATGACCAGTGGGCGTTTTGGAGAGGGCATTGGCAGACCCAGACAGCCCTCGCCCACTGGAGGGGGCCATCCCAGCTGAGGCGCATCCCACGGGACCCCAGCCCCGCTGCAGGCAGCCAAAAGGGACAGCGCATTTCCATCAGTTAATTAGAAAACCCGTGGCGGTAGGATCCCATACTGCCAGGCTTTGAGAGCGCAAAGAAGCAGCAATCCCAGCTGCTGCACACCAGCCCCTCTCACGCAGCCCAGCCGCAGAGCCAGGCCTCCTCCCTGCCACCCAGCCAGCTTTGATCTCCTGGTCTCACACCGGCTCCGGCTCCGCGGGGCGGTGGAGGCAGCGGGTGCGCGTGGCTCGGGGCACGCACCTTCTCCGCCAGCCTACCATCCACGGCAGGGCACCAAGGCAGGGCCGGCCGACCGGCGCTTTAATTAGGAGGCTGGAATTATAATATTATGTTAAAGAACAAAGAGTCTCCGAAGGAAAAAAAAAAAAAAAAAAAAAAAAAAGAAAAAAAAGCCGCATATCTGACAAAGATAAATTGGATTACTCAAAATATTCCTGATGAAATGTTACATTTTGCAACTAATTATCAATCTGTTTTATCTCCAGACCAGCTGGGCATTTTTGTGCATGCAAGACCTGCCTTACCAATGATCTTAAGATGTCACTGTAGCGTTTACATCTTTTATTTCAAGATTTAAATAACTAGGAAGTAGCTAATGTAATTCACTGCTGAGAAGAAAGGCTAGTTAGCTGAATGCTTTCCAAAGTGATCTCCTCCTAATGAACTTCTTTGGACTGTGAGTAATGAGGCTTTATTCAAATAATCTTTAGGAAAAGAATATAGAATGTAATTTTTAAAGAAAGAACTAGGTTTTCTACGTTGAAAATATCTTTATTAATCCTATACTGCCTCATGGAGTACTAAAGCATTGTGACAATGTGGTATTGGATGCTGCTTTTGAGATTCGTGGGTTCTAGCTGCAAAGGAGCTCATAAATGTTCAGTGATAAGTTGCACATTACAGTGGGATGTGATTAAAAGCCTTGCTGCTGTAAAAACATATATTGTTTAGGTATGTTAAGGTAATACATTATTTATTTGTTTGTATCACAGGACACATCTCACTCGATCCCCAGCCAGATAGCATACCCACCTACAGGCAGTGTGTTTTGCCTCCTCCATCACAACTTGCCATTTTGGACAATTATACTAATTAGGTTAATCTACTGGTGCCATGATATTTTCCTGTTTGCTTGATTCTGGATTGGTTTTGAACTGAAAAAAGAGAAAATACCAAACAACTCATTTCCATAGCAGATTCCTGCAATATTTCATACTCTGCCCTGGGGACTCCACGAAGCAAAAAGTTCTACTGGGCCTGATCTGGTAAATGTTGCTTCTGTGGGACTGAAATAATAGGTTGGTCACAAAACATGAAAATATAAATTCTCAGAGTTGAGTTTTGATTGGCCAGTTGCTAGGAAAGGACAATTCTGAAGGTATTTCAACAAACCCCTATGTTTTTTAATCAACTAAAAAGAGTAATCATTAGGTGTGGAGTGATCTGATGCTTCAAAAAGGTTGACTGCACGGTGTCTGGGAACTTGAGTGATACATGGTATAATTATACATTTCTGAAGCTAGATTTATTTACAGTAGAGGATCAACTGAAAAAGGAGTTATTTAATTCCAGAACTTTATATTTTTTGCTCCTATTTCCCAACAGTTACACCTTGAACTGTGTGCTCAGCTTGCCAGTTTTCCCAAAAGTAGGAACTGAATAAAAAAACGGCACTCAATCTCTTGGGAAGGAATATCTATATGTTTTTCTCTGGGTATTTCTTTCTGGTTATTGATTGAGAGGGGAGTCCTGGTAGTCTTACACATGTAAGTAGTCCCTGCCCACACAGCAAGGTAGGTGGTTGAGCAGATCACTGTCCAGGAAGATGGATGAGTTCACGTGGGCTGCTGGGCTGTGTTTTGGGTTTGTGTCATCCAGGATGTGAGCTGCTGCTTCCCACTGACCTGGGCTGGAACACAGAAAGTTTCCTGCAGCCAAGTCAAAAACATCGAGCGTTATGCCCATGGCACATGGAATAAAACAACAGCAATACACTCAATATATCATAGAATAGAATCTGAATCATAGAATTGCTCAGGTTGGAAAAGACCAAGATAATCAAGTCCAACCACAACCTAACCGTGCAACCCCACCAACCCACCACTGAATCATGTCCCTAAGCATCCTTTCTTGCAGAACAAACTGTGTCCTAACCAACCACATTAACTATTCAGAACACCTTCCGTTCCATTACATAAACAAATGCTTTCTGCCCTTTCAATCAGCATCCCCCTGAAGCTGCTTCTTATGCCCTCCATTCTTCCCATGTGCTATGGAGGCCTGATGCTGCCAGGGACCACGCACCTTTTGGGGTGCTTGGCACTGAAATGCCCATGGTTGGTAGACAGCAGGATCTAACCCTTGCTTTGCACAAAAATCTCTCCGCTTGAATGTTTCATAATGTATGTTTAAATAGTCACAGCTAGCAAAGAACTTTGATGAGGCAAAGGGGTAATTGGATTTTCTTGTTCTATAATTAAAAAGGTATATATTACATCCACATTAATACCAAAAGAGTTCATCATGATCAATGTTATTACAACGAATACCAAAGGATTTAACAGTGATTGGCCACTTAGTTTAAAAGGTACCTGAAATCATTAAATTGTTTGCTGGAGGGCTTATGAAGGCCTATCGGATCACTTGTGACTACATTTTTTACTACTGGCCTGCAATGTAAGGTTTACTCTTTCAAAGTAGGAGCAACAGGATGATCATTTCCCTTTATTATTCCCTTATTGACTTCCAGTTAATTTTAATCTTTGCATTAACTGACCTCTATTAAGCATGCCATGTATCTGATTACTGTGTCAAGGTTGGGACCGGAAAATGACCTATAGCACCATGTCAATTGTCCTTTGCAGAAGCCCTTACTGTTAATCAAGAGAGGGAGATTAGAAGAGATGAGAACCACCAGCCTGAAGAGCACTTTGCGTTTGACTACACCTTTCTGCCAGCCTGTGTGTTTCTCTTCTGATATCTCTGCAGGGAGAAGTTCTCCAGGTAAGGTTACATCTGAATCTTACATTCAAGATTTGCCACAGAATCAGTTCTAAATAGGTATAAATTAATTATCTCTCCATATCTTGCTCACCTTAGCTGTAGCCAGCAACTCAGGCAGTAATGGGCTCTGAGCAGGACCAGGGGCTGTTGAATTCTTTGTGTTAAAGCAAAGACACTCATTTTTATCCCAATGTGCATTCAAAACAGGGCTTTAGCAGGCTGCCTTCCTGCATAAGTGAGACTCGGAGCATGAGAATGATTTATGCATCCAGAATGTGTGATCCTTAAATACGTGAACTTGTTGAAATAAAAGCCAGTTTTTATCACAGTATTCAGTAACACATTGCGAGGCTGAATGTTATTTTATTTTTCTGCTGTTTTTCACCTTACTACTTCCGGATATGCAGACTAGAACAATTCCAGAGAACCGTTTTTACTGTCATGATGAAAATGTAGAATAAAAGCAAATGAGAACAACATAATGCTACCTCTGCTTATTGAGATCACTCTCACTTTAATAACTGGAAGTGAAACTTAACACTGATGTTTGCAAATGCCTCATTTTAGAACAGCACTCTGCTTCCCCACAGACAATTACAGTCTTCTATTTCTTGGCTCGCTTTGCTGTGAGACCACATCCAAAAAAAAAAAAATTATTTGCAATTGCAGAAGGATTTTCCTGAAGAAATGATCAGATGTGGCTGGGAAAATAGATTGAAGGAGTATTGGTGTCTAACCATAACCCTGACTCTAACCCCAACCACAAGGAAATGGACACCTAAAGAAAATGGGGTTCTCTTGCTCCTAGAACCTCCTTGTGAGTCACGGTACTGAAAAGCTGTCAGGTCCTCATCAGTCAATAATCACAATACCTTCTGTTGGTGGTGTGTTGAAGAATTGCTTCCTTCTATTTGAGTGTAGCTCTGGCTTTGTAGGCATGTTGTCACTGACAGCTGTTTTATTGATTTAGAGTTTTTCTTTTGAGGGCATTTTAGGGAACTTCTTCAGCTTACACAAATAAACTCCGTGGTAGCTCTTCTGAAAGGTCCTTGCATTCTTAATGATCACGTTTGTTACTCTTCAACTCTTTGGAAACACTTCTGGGATCACAAGGCACAGGTTGTTGTTGTTGGTGGTGCCTCTGTTGCAGGTGAATGCATTGGTATTTTCCTTGGTAGAAATGGGAAATGTTCCTGAGTGCTGCAGCCCAGAGGGATGATAAACAGAGTCAGTTTTTAACACTAACCAAAAGCATTTCAGACCAGACTGAACTAATAGTGTAATTTTACTAGTAATTAGTGAAATTAAATGTTTTCACCTGTCGTGGTTTGATTTTAGGGTAACATGCTTTACAAATATCAAATGTTAAAATAATTAAAAATTTTGCATTTATGTTTAATCTCTAGTGAATCTATGAAAAGAAGCCCCTATGCTGTATCAGATTCTTATATTAATTGACTGATAGATATTAAGACCTGCTATTATGGTCATCCAGTCTGGCCTTCTGCATGAGCAGACATGGAATTCCAGCACAGTAATTCATGCTTTTTCAGAAGAAATCCATACACACTACAAAACTTACAGGTAACTTTACAGTTTTAAAAACCTTATTAAATAGAAAATCTATAGAAATACAGAAGCTCCAGTAGAGCACGGAAAAATAAATTTTGCACAGGTACATTTGGAACGGAGATATTGCCTGAGCATTTGCAGTTTTGGTGACCTTTAGTGCTGTTAAAGGGGTGGGCATTAGATTGCTGGTTTTTTTTTCTGTTAGAGACAAGATAAAGTTTCTTGTGAAATTCAGACCACGTTATGAAGAAGTAACAAATATATTGTGCAGTTTGTTTGGCTTTCCTGGGAGCTTGTTGGGTTTATTTTCAGTGTAGGGGATCCCAAGAGCATTTGGCTTTTATAATCAATTCTGCATGTACTAGCTAATTCTTAATATAAAAATGACTGTTGGCACATAATAATGTCAGTTTATTGGGATTCAGGTCAATAGCAGTATTTGCTTTCTGGATAGGAGAGTCACCTCCAAAATACTATGACATCCATTACAATTTGATCATTGTACTTTATGCATCCAAACTTAACAGAGTAAGATTAACAGAGCTCAGAAATGGTTCTGTTCTATGGTTGAATTCTCTTTGGAAAAATAGCTTTGTCATATAAAGGCTGCCATCTACTTCGACAAGGCAAATAAGTTGCATCATTTTCCAGATATTTAAGGGAAACTGAGAAGGATTTTAAAAAACCCCACATATTTGTGAATCTTGATGACTTGAGTCACAGCTTGTATATTTATATCTTTTAATACACAGGCCATACACTCTTCCTCTTCTAAAACAAAACGATGTATGCCTTCCTTCTCCATAAGATATGCCTTATTTTTACAAGTCTAACAGATGCACTGTGGCCAATTACAGGGCATCTTTCAGGCAGCCAGCTCTGCTTGTTCTAATCAACTTGCTGTATGAACGGGAGCACCAAGGGATTGGCAAGAGTCGGGAACAGCGTTTAGCACTTTGCTGACCTTGAGTCCACCTTTTCAAAACTCCTTCTGGAACTAAGATTTTTTCCAGCCATTTTCAAGTGATTTCTTCCACTTTCTCCTGAGACTAAGACACTTGATTGACCCATGATGTTAAGCGAAATTCTTTCACTGGAAAAGTGGAAATTGTGGATACTCCTAGACATGAAAATATTTGTGAACTCCATTTTGGTGGCTAGAATTAATACCTTCAAAAAGGTTTCAAGGTATCTAACCTCAGTCTAGGCTACCTAACAAGTATTTCCAAAATTTTTCATTGTGAAGTAAGACACAGAGGCAAAAACACAAACATACATATAAATACCTAGATACTGAATTCTAAATGTATATTTTTTAGCTCTGTTTCAGCCTTGTAGATACTGTAATTGTGTATGTGTGTGTGATAACATTTTGTCTCATTTGAGCGTTGCTAATAACTGCCAAATGGCTGCCAAGAATTTCTGAGATTACACCAAGTAGAAGATCAAGGGGAGGGAGAAGATTTAAAAAATCAAAATAATAACAATAATTTAAAAAGCTTGATAGCTGAGATTATTAAAAATGATTCCTTCATGTTCTTCTGAAAGAAAAATGAAACTGATGTTTGCAGCTGTGATACTAGATAAATCTCTGGCTGAGGGTACCTACGTGCAAACATGATACCCCAAGGAGTTGTGGTGACCGTGTGCTAGGTATGTGAATGTGGGGAAAGTTTGCATTTGTCTTATAGAAGTCACAGTTAGGGCCCATATTTTTGCTTAAACCTGGTACATCTTGTGTGGCGTTGCACCACAAAGCAATGATCTCTGCTTCAAATTCCTGAATAACCCCAAATGGCAGAAATGACTCCCACGATTGATCTGGTTTCCAAAGGTGACATGAGAATTATTAGTGTCAGTAAAGGAGAAGCAAGCAAAACAAAACAAAACAAAAAACAAGATTTTTCATATTCAAAGCTTAAGATAATTTTGATGCATATTACGTATTATTATTATAGTACATATTAATTATTTGTTAAAGGACATCATGAATCAGTGCAGAAGTATACCAAAGACAACATTCTGCAGCAGTACCTTTGTTAGTAGCTGTACCACAGGCAATGGCAGTCTTTATCACCCTGCCAATTTACTCCCTCAGCCCGTTGGAAAGGAAGGTTTTACTTTTGAAACATACCAAACTGGAATTTCCAAAGCTGTGCGTCAGTCACATGGAAGCACAATTTTCAATCGCATTTTCTGTATTCTGGATATTCAAAGGTTAAGCATTCTCTGTACATTTACTCTCCTTGCTCTTTACAAATAGTCCCCTGGCACAGAAGCAGCTTTTCCTTGTTTTTCTGTGCACAAGAATGTAAAAATGGACCAAACAATGAACGAATCTGACTTCAAGAGGAGCACTCACAAGGACCACGCTTAGCATTTCACTTCTATTCACAGTTGTGTTTGAGATTCTGTATTTGTTTACTCTGAGTAATTATCTTGGCTTGACGGAGCTTTCCTTGTCAGGTATCCATCCCCCAGGCTTGCTTGCCCTCTGGGTACCAGTGAACTGTGGTGTTAATTTTATTGGTCATAGGGATTTCCTCCGTCTGGTCACTTTTCCATCGAAATAAACAACGTAACACCTAGGACCCTGTTCAACCCTCAGCTGCACAGACAAGATCTCTTCTGCAGCACATAAAATGCACTATGGCGTGTACAGTATGTGTAATTTACTTTTACAGGCTGAACTGTTATTCTCTAATCCCCACGCTCTGCCATGTCAGAAAGCAGGACTTGATGGTCTGTCTGGGTTTCCACGTTACAGAGGTGAGACAGAGGGTCAGTAAAACAAACAGATGAAAAGAAGCAGGCTGGAAAGTTGGAGAGCAGTTACATGCTATGGGCAAGTTCATGCTACCTGAGAGGAGGATGAATTTTATAGCTTAGGAAGCTATCCTGTATGCATTCCAGCAATGGAGTAGCATTGCAGTTTTGTGGCCACGTGGTACAAAAATCTGTAGCCTTTGGTATGTTGTTTAATCTGCTTGCTTGTCTATAAACTGTGAATATTGATTCCTATCTCACACCATCTCCTGTGAGGTTTAAAAGTTTATATAAAGCACCTATAGATCAGTGTACTCTGCTGAGGTGCTTTAGAAGTGCAAAGTACTTCTAAATGGTGCAGATGCATTCTGTGAAGGTTTGTATAGTGGGGTTAATTCACCCAGAGATTCACTACATTTTATGGGAGGGGTGCTTGGGGTCTTGCAACACTGCCTTGCAATGGAGCCAGCAGTTTTTACTTGAAAACAGAGCTGGAAAAGTCAATTCAGCTGTTGCTCAGGTTAAGGTGAATGTTGCATTGTTATACTTCTAGTCTCAATTCTGAGGAGCACTCCAGTTGAATACAGACCATATTAATGTGCATCAGTTATACATACACAGAGTCAGTCAATGACTGCATTGATCCAGTCCCGTGTTTTCTTTCAGAGGATTCTACAATGAGGCAATAGAAATCATTAAGGCTTGTGATATTGAAATCCTCTTGGTGCAGGCAGACGTGCAGCTCACATTTCACATGGTGGTACAGCATCACTGTGCAGCCATGCTTAGAATTTAAAGATTTTATTCATACTTCTGTTGAGTAAGACTTTTTGTCCTTCTTCTTTCACTGAGCTCATGTGTACAGAATTCAAGAGATCTCACAATGTTTCCCCCAGCTGTCTAACAATCTAATACTTAGTGCTTGTCACATCACTTTCCAAAAGGGGGTCAGTATGTAGCATCTCATCCATTTTCTCATGTGTTGAATGTGATACTGAGTATAATATAAAACAAGTTTCTTGCTTTTGAAGCTCTATTTTTACTTACTGGAACCCACTGAGAAGGGTCCTAAAGATCCTTACATTTCCCTTGCAGGTTGAGTGTTTGGATAAGGATTACTAGATTAGGATACATAAGTTTGAACATATGTAAGGAGAACAACAAAAAGCTGCCTCTGAAGCATGGCAGAATACTTCCCAAGAGCTTAGAGCCTCAGAGCTATGTGGTTTTCCCTTCTTGAGGACTCAGAAGTCCTCAAGAAGACCTTCTCAGAAGTCATTACAAGCATTTTTGACTTAAAATTTTGAAACCTCACTATTTTGAAGAAGGCTTTGTTAATGGAAGAGTCTGGGCTTGCAGTATTGGTATCTTGTTCATTATTAACATTGTTAGTAACTATTTGATTTTCACAAAAAGTGTTTATAAGTACTTCTGTAGAAGGCAGCATGGAGGCACAGAATTGAAATCAGCTCTTACTCCAATCTTAGCACAAAGAGGTTTGTTACGAGTAGAAAATAGAGAGAAATGATGTGACACTTACTGGTTAACTTAATACAGACGTTTCAGCAGTCTGCAGACTCGTTATTGGCAAGTTCTTTAGTTCACTTCATAAAGGGAGATGGTGAATAGTGATCTAGAAACGAAGTGCAGGAAGAACTCCGTTATAAAAGCTGCAGGCTTGATTTGGAGAGCAGGGCTAAGTAAGAAATGGTGGAAAACAGAGAGCAGATCTGAAGCAGAGGACTCTTGCTTACTCATGCAATAATGCTGCACGAAACACACTGAGTAACATATGCTAATAAATCTGTGTGCAGGATGCAGGGCTGTCAACAGATCACTCCAATTTGCAAATGCAGTTTGTCCTTGCAGGTTTTCTTCGCACCTCCCCTGGTGGCTGCGGGATTAAAACTCCAAAAAGAAATAAATTGAGAAATACCAACCCTCTTCCACCTTTACATTCCCTTTTGCAACATTCCAAAAAAATTCTCATAAGAAGAATGTTGCTGACTTGAGGGGTGGAAGAACTGGGGTGTAGGTGCTTTAGAAAATGTGTTGGGCTATGGGTAGATTATGAGACTGATGCAGCTAATCTGGATATATTAGGTGCCAGTCTCTGAGGCCTACCCCACCTGAAAATGGCAAATACTGCTTTCATTTCCTGCAGTGGCCCTGAAGAAGTGTTAGAAAGCTATTTTCCCTAGAAGACCCTGAGATAAACAGAAATTTCACATGAAAAGTTG